GTGTGAAAACAACGGCGATCCGACGAGTTTGAAAATCGTGCAGTGTGAACTCGGCATAAGTTGCCCATCCCTGTTCTAAATGATTCCTCTGATTCTGAATGGAATGGACTCCAAGCTTTGGAGTTGACTGTCAATGCCTCCCAAGGATCAATCATTCTTTGGACTGATTAGCATTAAGAGCGGCCCTCTTTCAGAATTAGAAATGTGTAACGTTGCTGTACACAGTGTTAAAAGTGGATTCAACACAGAGATATATAGAGCCTTATAAAGACAAAGATTGCAGAAGGAATTTTATACTGTGCTTGCTTTTTTTCTCATTACCAAATATTTTGTCTTTCTCAGTCTCTCCTGAACCCTTCTTGGCTAACATATTGTTGTAGTTCAATCATTCTCTCGCACACTTCCCCCCACCAATCTCCTATTTTCATATCTGTGTAATGACAGGTCTGGCTGCGCTTTTGAATTATTTGAGAAAAGTGTTCCCGGTCTGACTAATGATACAGGATTTGGGAGCTATCAGACAGGGAGAGGCATTTTTCATGGGGAAGAACGTTATTTGCAGCATTTATGCACAGTTAAACAAACCAGATGTAAACAACAACAACAAAAAAAGCTTCACACACTCTGAATGCACTTAAATGTCACATGAGTCTAATTCCAACCACGACAGCTGGCCTCAGCGTTCAACTCACCTTCCCTGGGGCACCATGGCAGTTTGAGAGAGAGGAACTGTGTGTGGGTGTGTTGTGATGCACACAGTATGACAAGCATCATGTCATTGTCAACACTAATAGAGGAGTAGAGGAGCATGATGCCTCTACTCTCTCTCTCTTTCTGTTCTTCCAGGTGTAGAATCTGTCTAATGCTACTGACTCAAACTGTCATCCATCAACACATATCTTTGGCAGCTCGGTGTTGCCATGGCAACTGCCCCTTGCCAGGCAGAGGTTTTAGGTCAAAAGGCATTTAATGCCAGCTTTCCCCCTGCCCCTTTTCACCCTGGTCGACTTTTCTTGTCTTTTCTTTTCTTGTCTTTTCTTGTCTTGTCTTGTCTGGTCTGGTCGTTTCAACCCTCATCTGCTCTTTCTCCTTCTCCTATCTTTTTTCCTTCTTACATCATCCCATGTTATCCATCCTTACTGATTACCGGACCTTATAAATATTTCTCTCTTTTGATAAATAAATTCATTTAAAAAAATTCATTCCTGTTTGTTGCTTTAAATCATCTCATCAGAAACACTGAAGGAAAAGAACCGTAAAAGTTATCTGTATTGGCAAGATTTCAGTGAAAAATAATAACCCGATTTCATGAGAAAATATAACTATTTTACAAGGTGGTGATTTCATATGAATTTGTACAATGTGATTCAAACAAAAATGTATGATCTTTAGAAAAAAGCGTAACCTCAACCTAAACCTAACCATCACAGAAATTCATAGAAATCAGCCACCAGTTGCCAAAACGTAAAGTAGTTGATAAACCAGCGATAGTGTCGGAGTGGAATAAAGTGATATTTGATTTTCTTTCACTGGAATAAATTTCCTACTGGTCAAAAGTAAAAATGGAGGTTTTGTCAGACATTGACCCCTTTTTAGATAGGTCCCAGGATTTCATGTACCTGTTTGCAAAACCTTGGCAAGTCAACATGAACATAAATTACACATGTAGGCCTAGCTATGGTTTTTGTTGGAATCTGTCTGAAATCGAAAACATAAAAGCTAAACCAACTGTCAGTGGGGTGTTAGCAGATCATACAAAAATCTACAAATGAGATAATTTGTATTAGGAATTGGCCACCAATTTCCAAAACATAAAATAGGTATGAATTGACATGAGAGTGTGTTGGAAGTAATTTGTCTGAAATCGAATGTGTAAACACTGTATTCACATGGCACAAAAACAGCCAATCAGAACATATGTATAATTCTATGGAGCAGGATTTTAGACCAATTAAATTTGACTGTGGGTGGAGCAACCAAGTGCAACGCTACAAAAAAGTCATAAAACAACAATAATAGTGCAGTGTGCATGATTCACTGATTCTTTCAGCCTTTTATCAATTTTATTTTACACTGCCAGATCTTTAAGAGCACTTCTCACACTGCAGTGATCTTTTCATTTCTAGCTGACTGGTTATACTGATATAATCCATTATCATGAGGTGTTTGCTATTACTAAACATTGGCCACGGCCACAGATAGATGAGTTGCAACACAATAGATGCTGTGTCTAAAAACAGTTCTGCTGAGTAATACAGAACTGAGTCATCAAAATGTTCTGTCCTATTCCACCAGTTCTCTTAAAGCACATTAAATTAATCTCAAAGTCTTTCATAATGCTAAAGACCTCTGCACTGGCATGTGTTTTATGTACTGCAAATTATACGTGTCATGTATGGGAGGCGATAAGCTTGTGTAAGTGTGACTGTGTGTTGTGCTATTGGATGATACTAGATTGTGTGTGTGCACAGAAAACACTGATTCATCTTCAACCACGTGGTGTTTATCCACCTACCTGACACCTGTCCATCACCTCAGAACACAAGAGACAGCAGAGAGCCACAGCAGCTAGAGGTGAGGCATTCTTTATCTGATTTGAATCAAAAGGTAAGATTAGAGATACTTATTTGGTAAGAGCTTTTAGAAGTGGATGCATCCAAAGTTAACGCATCAAAACTCAACAATGAAGATGATAAAAGGGATATATGGCTTAAATATAATACTTATGTCACAAAATTGCCACAAAAAAATTGTTTACTTATTGTTTACTTTTATTGATTAGTTTGACTAGTTGAAAATACTTACTGTAGCTATGTTGTGTTCAACAGAGTCCATGCTCACTGGACTGGACCATAAGAATTTCTTTTTGACCTTTGATGTCCTCTGCTATGAGTGAGATGTAAGTTGCCTCTTAATATACCAATGTAGATTTCATTTCATATTCAGGAAAATCAAAGTTTACCAAACAGTGGTGACCCAACACAGTACCAAACCTGTTTGGCATTCAAAAGTTAGAAAAATGCCTCTACAGTAAATCTTTACACTGTGTTAATATTACCATGAAATGTACAATATAGGTCCAACAATAAGCTAAATTATTGACATGACAGGTTGAATAGGAAACTGTATATATTGTAAAAAGTAAATGCATAAACAAAAGCAGCAGTGTGGTGTACCACTAAATAGAACCATCAGAGTTACATATTGTAAAAGTATTAGTCATATTAGTAAGCAACAGATGAAATCAGTTGTTATTATTATTCTGCTATTCTTGATTATATTAGTAGTTGCATTTTATTCTTTGCATTACTGTCATTCAGCATACCTTGAAATGAATTTTTTATGATTAAGTTTGTTGCATGTCAATGCAACATATCATGCGATCCAGTAGAGTTTTTGTTGATGTTTTGCATTTTAACCCAGATCACCTGTATTTATGGCTGTTAACTGGGCCAATATGTTTTGTTTTGCTAAACAGGCTTTTTGTGACGTAACTCTGAATCATGTATGTATGTCATCTCTTTGAGATGTACTGTTACCAAATGAGAAATAATTTGATATAAATATATGAAAGTTCATTATTAAAATCATTAAATTCAAATTTAGGACCAAAAAAGGCTGTCCAAACTTTTTTATTCTTTCTAAGGTTACCATATATTTTCCTTACAGTCAATGCCCATTTGTTTATTTCTTCCCAAAAGGAGATATTTCACTGTACCCTCTCTTGATCTGGACTGTCTTCTCTCGGTGAAAGGGAAAATCCATCAGGAAGGATTGTTGGACTCACACCTGAAAACCAATCTTGACTTTTCTATCCAAGCCCTAGAGACCTTTCCTGCATCCAAGCGGCGTGACGTCTCTCGAACACTGGAAGGAGAGCGCCACCTGGTGCGTATCACCACCGGAACACCTGCCCTGTCCTACATGGTACATCTGGGCTCAATTGGGCCACAGCTCCTCCAAAGGACCCATCCAGAATCAGCCTGGCAGCTAGCCACTTTGCTGGACATCGCTGTCGTGATGAGTTGGAAAGCTGCTTCGAGCAGGCTAAAAAAGCCCTGAGCAACGAGGCTGAAAAAAACCCATCAGTTCTGGATCACATGGAGCTCAAGATCACCTGTGGAGAGCTGCACCTCATGTACAGTACCCCATCAGCCCCTGCACACCCTTCACATCCAGCCACACCATAGAATTTTCTTGGGCAAAACGCTGTCCCTAGAGAAGATCCTGGAGACAAAGACACACCTGGAGAAGAGTGGAGAAATGAGGAAAGATCTGCTCACGTGTTTTCAGCACTTGCTGCAGCACTCTGACCAGTATCAGGATGTATCATTCTTTAGGGTGATGGGGAGATGCTGGAGTTTGTCACTGGCAGAGCAGACAACCATACAACTCAGTACTTCATCTTCACCGATGCCCAGAACAAAGCTCACAGCCAGCTGGTGCAGGACATGGAGTTGTGGGAGTATGATTAGGAATCATGGGACAACTGCTTCCATCTCTGTTATAGAGGAGATCACCAGGTTATTAGGTTATTAATCAGGTTATTGAAGGATGCAGAACTAAAATTACATAAGTAGTAATACTAACATTAATAATTGTATGTATTTGGGGGTGTGGTCATTTCTTCCCATGCTAGATGGCAGATTTTCTTCAATGGAGAGATCCAATCCTAATCTCTCTGTCCAGTTGTAAATTGGTTCTATTACCTTGCCACTGTATAATGATAAAATCAGAAATAAAGTTATATTTTTAGATTATTATTTTCTGGCTTGCCAAAAAATTAATGTGCATTTGTATTGTTTGATAGATACAGTATTTTAAACATTAAATAAAGTACAATACAGCTCTATGTGTATATGCTTATTTGAAATAAAAGAATGGTCTTTCTTGTTCTGTTTCTTCTGTTTCTCCCCGCCTATAATGACACATTTGTTTCCCAGAAAGTGAAGCTGATGTTTAACTGAAAGTGAAACTTACTGTGAATCCTGAGCCTGAACTACTAGAAGACAACATTTGACAAAGACAAAACGTTTTTCAAAGTTCTCTCTTTTATATGACCACCGAACAAAGATCTACAGTAGGTAAGTCTGTCCAACTGTCTTTTTCCAGATGTTTTAAGTACACAAAATACAGTCAAAATGGATCATCTGTTTAGTATTTTAAAGTGTTGTATTTCTCTAAGGGTTTAAGTCTGATAATATTGAAGAAATTAACATATATATATCAATCAAATTATAACTATTAAAAAAGTGATTATTGACTTGCTCTTTTAAAGCAAACGGATCTTAAAGAGTCTTAAAGAAGTCTTTATACTCATTTCCAAAAGGAACTAGCACACTAAAAGATATATTTATGCAAACGTCTCATACACACTACACACTCACTAAAACAAACTTTTCAAATTACTTCATACTCTAAACAGATTTAGGTAAAACATTCTGTTGTAATATATGTTAGATAACTATATTACATGGCTATGTGGAATACTTGATTCTGACTGGTTAATTTTATCACCTCAGGGTTATAAAAGTCCCCTGCACTTCTGATCACCCTGTTTATTTTGAGAGAATGGTTGTACATTATTCCGTATAAATGACTGCTGTATCTGATGATAGTGTGGATTATTCCGGTGAAATTTTGGCCTGCTAGAGAAACCACTCCTCCCTCTCAATGAACACTTCATTGTAAGTACATTAATAATGATCTGCAGAAAAAAAGTTAAACTTTCATTAGATGTATATAAATGTACATATAATTTTTATTTTGTTCCCAAGCTGTTACCCAGATTTTCATCCTAACATGGAAAACATACTATCTGTGAAGCGTGAACTGAAAGAAAATAACATTTCAGACAGCATCCTTCTCTCAAACTTGGACTTTGCTGAGAGATTCTTTAGAGACCATCCTCTAAAAGAGTACTCAAAATTGGTGGTTAAAGGAGATTACTTTTGTGTACAAATTGGTGGGGATGTCACGTATGTTTTTACCGTAACATCAGAAGACAACCAAACCTATGTCCATGTCTTTATCCTTGCACGTAATAAAATAATTTCCATTGACGCCAATCAATTTTACCACCACTCCTGCCAGGATGAGATTAAATCCTGTTTTACACAGGCTCTAGAAGCTGTTACTGATGAGGACCTGACAAGTCTACACATAATATGCAACAGGTTCTCAGTCATGTACTCCACTCGATATAGAGGTCCACGCTCAACTGTGGAAACTAAATGTCAGTTAAAGCTAGAGAACATCACTGCTGAGAGTTTACTGAACAAAAAGGTTTGGTTGCAGAAAGAGAAGGCCACATGTCATGGTTTGATAGCATGTCTAGACCATCTCATTATACAATACCTTACCACACCTGATGCTCCAAAGAGCAACTGTAGTTTCATCATACATGCAGACAAGGAAGTAATGAGAATCACTACAGGTGAACAAGATGAAAGAGTATTTTTTGCTACACAATGGTAAAGGGTTCTCAATGTATCCTCCAGCATGGAAATAGAAGCCAGAGGCGTGCACAGGGGCGGGGCGGGCGGGGTGGGGGTGGGGGTGTCTTTAATCACCAACGCTAAAGTGTCCTTTTGGTCCATTTTGCAATTTTTATGCTATGACAGCACTCCAGAATACTGCAAAATACCCTCACATGCATGGCCTACATTGGACTGTAACTTCAGTCTGTCTGTTACAGTATAGGGTACTTTCATCAGTTAGAGTTTATAGCCCTACCTGAAAACAGAATTTTAAAAAAGTATAACCTTCAAATATTATACCATACAATGCCACTACAGTATATTACAGTACAGTATATTCAATGTGTATCTTGCCTCTTTTTTTTTGTGGCAAGCAAATAGATTTACATCTGCATGATACTTTAACTGTGTGCACAGGCAAAAATAATAGATTCTGTTATTCTGTACTCAGTTTATTGTTGACATTCATTAATATCAAAATATTGTACAATTGGCTATGTAAATAAACAGCTTGAATCTTTGTTATTTGTAAAGCGTTGTTCTTTATTTTGCATGTGTTTTGCCTTCGACGTTAAAGATCAGTACATCAGATATCACTGTATAAACCAATGTACAACAAAAAAAATCTCTCATCCAAAGAACCCATCCAGAATCTTGCCTCACAACTTCCAGGCCAGCAGCGAGCCACTCTGCTGGGTATCACTGAGTTGTAAAGCTTCTTCAAGCAGACCAGAAAAGCCCTGAGCATCGAGGCTGACAAAATCCCATCGGTTCTGGATCACATGGAGCTAAAGATCACCTGTGGAGAGCTGCACCCCACAAACAGTACCCATCAGTCCCTGCACAACCTCCACCACTCTAATTTGTAGTCTGGACGAGTCAGCGCTAATGGTGCTATTTGTCAGATCTTGTAAATGTGAATAGGTCTGCCAAGATGTTTCCGATCCTCAGACAGTATTACTCTGTCATATCCAAGATCAAGACTGAAGTTGAATCGGCCGTGTGTGTGTGTGTGTGCGCGTGTGCGTGTGTGATCCTCACTCATTTAGTGTCATGTTCATTTATCAGTTTGTCTGACAGATATTTTTCAACACTGAACGTAAAGCACAATACAGCTCTGTTTATGTGCTTCTTCGCAGTGAAACTGTGGTCTCTTTTCTGTTTTTCCTCTCCTAACATAGGCGGAGCGTGGACACAGTGAGTTGGGGCAAAAATGCCACTAAATTGGACGAAAGTGCCTCAAGCCGGCCTCCGCTCACTCTAGGCCTCCGGCCTCCGCACACTCAAGGCCGCGGTGTGTGACGCTGTTTCGTTGTGAAAGCGAAACTACTTTGTTTGGCCTTCCAAAAGAGGACACAACTAGAAATCAGTGGTTAAGTTTACAACACTGTTCCAGAACAGTTTAACCCAAATATTCAGATGTGTCCAGCGCATTTTATGGAGGACTGTTTCCTGATCCTGGAAGAGTAGACTACAATGCCGGCTGTTCTGACTAACAGACTGTAAGTACATTTTTTATATTTAAAGAATTTGCCACTGACGATTCAAACGCGAGTTTTGAGCAGTGTAGAGTAGCACTTGTTGTTTGTCATTTCTCCAATCACAAATGCAGACATGGTTTTATGTTACGCTCCGGCCGGACAGGGCATCACA